GTTCTGGGCTACATTTGGAGAGAAATGAGCCCTCTGGCAAAGAAAGGCGCATAGTGCCTCTGGAATTAGGTGGGCTTTTCCTCATCAGAGATTATGACTCGGACTAGAGCCCATTAAAGCCACCTCCACCATATTTCTATTTTGCACGAAAGATTAGGCCAGCTCCTGGTCAGGAGGGTGCCAGCTCTTGGGACTGAGCTCTCTGTGCCCATGGGCCTCCCAAGGAGACATGCTAAGTTGGGACAGGAGGAAGGTTCTTCTCGCCAAATCGTAAATACTTGGGTGCAAAGACGTCACACATGAGAGCCGATGCCATTCTACATAATTCCCAAAATACGAGTTTGAAACAAATTTGTTTCTCTGATTTCCAAATGGGGCTTAAATTACTCAGGAGCACACAGGGCTAAAGAACAATCCTCATTTTCATGCTTTTCACCATCGGACCGTGTAGAACATTTCCTGATTATGGATCACAATGAATGAATCATGCAAATCCCATATCATTACCATAGAGTCTCTTTCTTTATTATTATTATTTTAGTTTTTGCTATAGGGCACAAGTACATGCCAGAGAGAGAAAGAGAGAGAGACAAAGAGAGAGAAAGAGAGAGAAAGTGAGAAATCACCTCCCAGGGGGGATAGCCACAGTCCCTTCTCCTCCAAAATTTTGGGTATGCACATACACCAGTAACTTTCACATTCTTTAATAGCAAGTATATAAGAGCCCCATTTACTTCTTCACCTCATCCGTTGACATGCTACCCCATACTAGCCCAGTCAGGGTGTTGGCCTGTTGGGTTCCTTGAAGGTACCATGATTCCCCCACTCCCCAACACCATCCCACACCTACATCGCCTGGCTCATACTTATTTATCCTTCAGGTCTTCACAAGTTTAGACATCCCTCGCTCTCGGTTAAGCTCCTCTCTTTAATCACTCATATTGTAACTTCCTTATGTTTCTGTAACCCCCTTCTAGCCTTTGAACCCCAAGAGGGCAGAGAGGAAGTCTATTTTCTTCAGACCCTTCCCTGGTGTTCAGTAGGCCTTCACTCATAAAATAAGTCCTTTGCAGTATTTCCCAAATGAATGATTCTGAGTGGGAGTTATTTGGCAAATAACAGAACCTGGACTCCCTCTGTTCCGTCTAGAGATCTCGAAAATCGACCAGAATTTCTCTGATCTGCAGCCTGATAGTCTAGCTCCTGCTAATAAACTATGCTCCTCTTGGAGCTTTCCTTCCACCATTTACCTCTCTGATTCAAGATTCTTCCTCAGACTTTAATTTGCTATCTTTCTCGAAGAGCAAACTGAAAAACATTTTCCACTCCTGCCCTGTTTGTTCCAAGGAGATCCCTGTAAACCCCTTCTACGGGCAGCAGTTCTCCTGGGCCGGGGGGCCTGCTCTGCCCTGGTGCAAGCACACTGCCCCTGGGTTACCACTCCTTGGCGAGCAGATTGGTTGCTATGGAGAGAGAGGGGTTGGTAAGCAAGACCAGCTTTGAGGAGATTAAAAAAAAAAAAAGTGTTGATTGCCTTTTAACTCCTAACTAGAAGCCAGCTTTGTGAAGCTTTATAAAAATAATCATAGAGAAAATCAACATGAGAACATTGCTAACAAGTAGGATACATGACGTAGACTGCAATGAAAAGAGTAAAAGAAGAAAAATATGTTGCATTTCAAATAAAAGAATCATTGATTATAGTAGAATTGATTCTTCCACACCCGAGCAAAATGATACCAAACAATTTTAGGAAGATATGGTCTAGCTTCCCTTTTTTCCTGAATTTTTGGTTGTTGTGAACTATAGGATGCAATAATAAACACGTCTAGTGCTTCCTACAGACCAGGCGCGTCACCTACTAAATGTACAGGTATGAGGTTAGTATTTTCGGAATTGACATTTTTACACATGAGGAATTGGAAGGGGTAAGAAATGTTCCCAGGTCACAAGAGCCAAACTTTGAACTCAGGAAGTCCCATGGTAGATTCATACTCGCACCCACTAGGTTACTCTCTCACATTTACACACAGTTGTCTGTATGAAACAAACGTTGAAAAATAACATGAATGATCACATACCTGCCTTCTTGCTAAAGGGACAGAATGTTACCTGCAAAATACCTTAGGAGCCCAGTGGGCTCCTTCTCCAGCACATATTTCCCTCTGTCCCTGTCATTTCTCCCAAGTTAACCACGGCCCTAAATTTGGGATTTTCTTACTTTTTGTTATAGTGTGAATACCTAAATCCTGAATAATATATAAGTAATTTTCTACTTCAGATAAATAGAATCACACTGTCTGTATCCAGCTCTAGCTTACTTATTAAGTCCAACATTATGTTTTTGGGATTCTTCCCTGTTAATGACTATAGCTTTGGTTCATTCCTTTTTTGGGGCTGTAAAGTATTCTATTCTTGATTTATCCATCCTATGAGTGGATATAAATTTATTTATAGTTTTTGTGGTAAGAACAATTTGGTGGATATCCTTTTGTAAAAAATTAATTTATTTCTTTCGTGAAAAAGACAGAGGGCACCCCCAACAGATTCTTCACCCCCAACAGGGGCTATTTTTTTTAAAGAGACGGATTTTTACTATAGGGTACATGTGCTCACTGAAGAGACAGAGAGAGACAGAGAGAAAGAAAGCAAGAAATCATTCCCCAAGAGGGATGGTCATGCCTCAATCCCTTCTTCTCCATTCTCCTCTCAAGATTTTAGGCACCCACACACACGAGCCCAGTGTGAATTTCAAGCCACCGTGTTCACACTGCAATCCCTTCTCCTCCATTCTCCTCTGGGCATGCATACACATGCACCCGGCGTGAGTTTAAGTCACTGGGTCCAGGACTTGAACTACGGTCGACTACATGGGAGTCCAGTGACATAGCCATTACGCCATCTTCTGGTCCGTAATTTTGGAATATCTGTCTATCCATAATGAGTTATTTGGGAGATGGAACCCACGTCTGGATACAAAACTTATTTATGTTTTATATATAGCCTGAATGTAGTTTTGTACTATTTTTATATTATAATGTTTTAACTGTGACCCATTACATAAAGTCACATGTGAAATTTTACACTTGTGTTGTCATCTTGGTGCTCAGAAAGTTTCAAATTTTGGAGCATTCTGGATTTTCGACTTTGGGTTTGGGGTACTCGACCTGTCTCTTCTCCCAGTCCATGTCTTGCCATTTTACTTTTTATGTTGTCTTTTGAAGAACTGAAGTTTGGAAACTTAATGTAGTCAAGTTTACCAGTCTTCTAGAAAATTGTTTATGCTTTCTGTCTTATGAAATGCTTCCTTACTCCAATGTCACAAAGATAATCTCCCATGCTATTTTTAAAAAGTTGCATTTATTTTTGCCTTTTCATCTTATTTGACTTAATTTTGGTTTATGCTATGAGGTAAGGATCCATTTCTTATTTTTTCTGTCTTTATTTTTCTGACTTTGTCCTAATGTCTAGTCTGGCAAGACCTATACCGCCTACAGAAACATCAGAATCATTTTTGGTATTTGGATATGTGTGAGTGTATGTATGAGAGAGAGAGCGGGAGAGAGAGAGAGAAAGCACCCCCAGCGGGGCCTGATCATGCCACAGTTCTCTCCCCTCCATTCCCCCATCCTGTCAGGATCTTGAGCACACGGGCACGCACATCTGGTGCGTTGCTGTTGGGGCGGAAATTCAAACTGCAGCCAGTTATGTAGGACATGGCCTTCTCTCAGCGTTTGGCTGATGGCACTATGAAGACAGCCCTGTTTCTCTTTTTTCTGTTCACTTTTATTCAAGGTGATTTGTTTCTTTGTGTTCCAGTTAAAGCTGCCTTTCTCTAAGTCAATTTATTTCTGAGTCTTCTAAGGTTGTTTAGGATTTTCTTTTTTGGGGGGGAGAGGTTTTTGCTATAGGGTGCGTGCGCTCGCCAGACAGACAGAGAGAGACAGAGAGACAGAAAGCGAGAAATCACCCCCCAGGGGGGATGGCCACGCCACAATCCCTTCTCCTTCGTTCTCCTCTCAGGATCTTGGGCACACACGCACACGCACACGCACCCGGCGTGAGTTTTAAGCCACCGGGTCCAGGACACGAACCGCGGTCGACTACATGGGAGTCCAGAGACATAGCCATTACGCAAATGCTGGTCCCAGGTTGTTTAGGATATTTATACTGCCACTAAGCTATAAAGAAATACTTAATCTTTCTCTCCTTTTCCAATATTTCCTTTTTTTAATTAAAGAATCATTGTATTTAATTTTCTTTCTTTCTTTCTTTCTTTCTTTCTTTCTTTCTTTCTTTCTCTCTCTCTCTTTCTTTCTTTCTTTCTTTCTTTCTTTTTCTTTCTTTCTTTCTTTCTTTCTTTCTTTCTTCTCTCTCTCTCTCTCTCTCTCTCTTTCTTTCTTTCTCTTTCTTTCTTTCTTTCTTTCTTTCTTTCTTTCTTTCTTTCTTTCTTTCTTTCTTTCTTTCTTTCTTTCTTTCTTATTTTAATTTGACCAGAGAGGGACAGAGATAAAGAGAAAAAGAAAGAGAAAGTGAGAAAGCAAGCCGCCAGGTCCAGGACTCAAACCACAGCTGTCCATGTGGAAGTCCATCACCCTCAACCTCCACACTACCTGCTAAACCCCCAATATTTTCAAAAAGTAACAATTCCCCAATGGATGAAAATCATTGCTGGAGGACATTTGTTATTAGTCTCATCAACAAGATAAAAAATTGGATGACTTCTACTATGAAGAACAGTAAGAATGTGAGAAAGATATGCTGCTGAGATATATAACAAAGCAGATTCTTTACCACTCATATCTAGGTTCAACTTAAGGAGAAATTTGGCTGAGAAAGCACTGCTAGTAAGAACACAGTCCCTTCTGCATTTGTTACTGAACCATTCATACTGGCCTCTACTGTAAATCATGAATGATGACAATGACATGATCATTTACTTCAGTCACGTCATGCATAACTTCTTGAGAAAAATCCTACAATCACAGAAATGCACAAACCTGTGAGGGTCATCTGGATCACAGTTAGGTAGAAACTGAGTGATTGCTTCTGCTACTTCTTCATTTGATAAAACATCCCAGAGTCCGTCAGTGGCCAAGATCAGCACATCATCTGCTCCGTGCTCATATTTGGAGAGATCGTAGACTCTTACCTGAAAAGAACAGGAATACGACTGCTTCAGAAAGAGGAGCACACTATTCTCTGTAATGAGTTGATTCTGATTCTCCTGTTTTCCTGCCCAGCCTAGTGGTGTTCAGCCTAGTGCTGTTTAGGTATTCACTGTAAGGTGCCTGGTTATATAGCAATCTTTGTGACCAGGAGCATCCTTCTTTAAACACTTGCTATACAAGGGTCAGCAGGTGACATGGTGGTTAAGGT